AATTTGCACGCTCAGAGTTTTGTCCATTTTGAAAACAAAAAGTGCAACTATAAAATAAGTGATCTTATGTAAATTGTAGAGCTTTTCACGCTGCATCTTGTGGTATATTTTGTTTTTTTAATACAACGTATTAAGTGATAATAAAGTGGAATGCAAAAGTGCCCGATCAGTTAAGATCTAATGCCACCAGCTAGTTTTCAATAAAAATAGTTCTTATCGAAATTTTATTATTATGATATTAGTTGAATAATGATCAAATAGCATAGAAACATAGAACGAAAGACGCTTTATCTGTTCATAAAAAAAGAAAATTTTTTCAAGCTTTCTATAAGAAAAAAAGATAACGACGGCAGCACTTTTGGATTGCCCTAAGTAAATAGTTATTTTAAAGAGTATTTAAGAGTATACTTATTGTGCAAAAATAAAGGTTCTAGCTTAGGAGATAAAGAAATATAAATGTCAGAATATCATTAAATGTTTTTCAGAAACGTTTTTTTTTTATACATATAAAAACACTAAACAAAAAAATTAAAAATGGAAAGTTTGAACATTAGCGAACTTTATTAATGAACTTGACGAGAAGTGTTCGTGATATAGCGATATTCAGTTTATTTGATTTTTCACACAACAAATCGTCTCGTTCACATACAAGAGCAGACGCTTACATACAAGATGAAAAAAAATCTGCTTCATGTTCTTTTTATTCAACATTAAAGAATGGTTTTTTTGAGAACCAAAAGCACATTTAACAAACTTTCTTTATAGACTCTCTGTTATCTCTGGAACTAGAACCTTTATTATTACACAAGAACCATACTTTTAAATGCTCGTTAAAATAACTATTTATTTGTTGAAACTGCTCAAGTAGTTGCAAAGATAGATTGATAGAAAAATTGCTGAGAACTCTTTTCCTACACTTTATCTTAACACAATCGATTGTGTAAGAAGGTATTACTCAATTCAACTCAAATAATTTCGTCACTCTATACGTCATAGAAAAAAAAGCAAAAAGCGTCAGCAATGAATCATTGGAATTTTTACCTACGCACTACTCAAATCATTCTTTATAATAGCGAACAAAGTAATAAAAAAACAAGAAAATAACCACTTTCAGATTTATACTGAACTTTCTTTTAAAAATTTATACGAAAGCAATGAACGATGAATGGAGTCGATGTCCGATTTGTTTCGAAGATTATTCATTAACACATAGACCAACTACATTTGTTTGTGGTCATTCAACATGTGTTGATCATACAACTGGTCCCAAACGTTTACACCATTGTATTTGAAAATAAAACCAACTTTCTTTTACTTATCAATAGATTGTCTCTTTGTAGGTCCTATTTGTCGACATCCATTGAGGGAACATGATGAACATCATGTATCTTACAATCTTGAAGAGGCTTCACGTTTATTTCAATTAATTAAAAATAATATTGATTGGTCAACTATTCAACTTCCATCTGTGCCAGTTATTATTCAGGAGGAAAATAATGCTTCAGCAATGATCAAACGTGATGAGATCTATGCTCGTCAATTACAAGCTGAACTTAATCGTGGAACTGTCAATGAATCTTCACAAAGAGCGCAAGTTCCAACAAGAAATCCGACATTACCACTTCAAGAAATTCGAACAAATCCAACAGCATTAGGAAGAAATCAAGTTAGTGGTCATCAAAAAGGATGTGGCCATCGATGTGATCTTGTTTCCACTAGACAATGTTGTTTATGTTCCGGTAAGATTTCTATTATGAAAAACTTTCTTATGTATTCATTGATTTCCTTTTACTTGAAACACATATTTTATAGATAGGCGACCACATCATCGAGATAATGTGTATCCAGCATATGTTGATGGTCGAGGAGTAGTAAATCAAGTGGCACGTGATGAATATTATTGCACGACTTGCAAAAGACGATAATACCAGTGATGTATTGAGATGTTGCAATCAATCGAGAAAAGACGTCTAGACAGTCTAGAACTCAAGTAAAAAAAATAGGATATTTTATGTCTCATATAGTACTAGCATAGTATCATCCCAAAATCTTAATTGACTTTATCTCATAATTAATAATATTATAAATTGATGACAGTCTTAACTGTCTACGTATAATTTTTGTGTTTTATGTATTTTTATATCATATCTTCAAGAAAATTTTAAAGAAATGTATAATATAAAATTGTTCAACTTTTCGAACACCATCAATCGTGTCATGAAGTGAATCTGTTTTCGATGCTTTAACATATCTAAAATTTTAACATGTTGTATAAAATTAACAAGCAATGAGAAACGTCAATCAAATATGTAAAATATATATTGGTTGGATAATTTTGACGATCATTGTATATTTAGAGCGATAATGGAAATCCATAATATTTTCTTCAATATTGTCGTATGAGTTTCTATAGTATTTACACTTCATTCTAATATCAGTTGGTCTTATCTGTCGACACTACTGGCAGGACAAACAACGACAGAAGTAAATAGATTCTTTTCTCTATTGCCACATGTGTGACAACAAATTTAGTTCTGTCAAAACCTTTTGAACTCATCCAACACTCATCAAACTGTACGTGGTAGAAATAATTCAAACCAGAACAATTCGAATATAAGATATTATTCCATCACGCATAATAATCGATAAATGAAATATTTTCATTCTAGAATTCAAAAAACATCTATCTCAATAATATTACTTATAAATTGCTCAAGAATTGATGAAAAATCTAACAACGTTCAAAAACCAAATTGAAAATTTTGAAATGCATCATATAAGTCTAAGCATAAAAAATTGCAAAGCGAAAAAGAAAAGTTAATTGTAATCAAGGCTATTATTAGCCATCACCAGCAATCCAAGCAATTCTGGCAACCAAAAATTTAGCTTTCTGTTCTCTGGAAGAATGACCGATTTCTGATTAAAAGTCGATCAGATATAAACTATCATGATAATTGAAAGTGTGTTTACAAATGCACGATATAATCAATATAGTCGATAAGAAAAAAAACATATAATGAAGTCAATAATCAATAAAATCTTTTTTGAAAGACAACATTTATGAGTAGTATACCATTTTCTGCCGATATCGTTTTGAGAAGAAGGAAAAGACCAGATTTATTGCTTTGTTTATAATCTATCTATCACTCTCTAGAATATTAATTGTCTGGTCCTCCACTTTACTCTTACCACATCTGCTCTTTGTATTGAATAAAGTTGAAAATACAACAAAAAAATCGACATATATGATTGCAGTAATTCAATATTGGTCATATTTCTGTCAAAATTCTATCGTAAACATGATTGTATTTTGCAGATCGACAACTTTTCATTCTACATTAGAACTATAGATGCAACAAACACACAATAAGTTGTAAACAACATCGACGTCAATACCTAGAAACTCTGATTGACAAAATCACTTCAAATAAATGCTGATTAAAAAATAAACAACTCAGGAAAGGTTATTTTTGTTTTTGCTTGTTTCTTAAAAATAGACAAAATCTTAAATTAGAAATAAAGAATAAGAGAAGTATAAGACGAGAAAAGAAAGAAAAGTGACCAAAGAAAAAAATCATTTGCTTCTAGATATGCAATCATTATGATGATTCTGTATGTAGATACAATAAGGTCGTTAATAGCTAGCATATCCTTATGTCTCTTAACTAAATTTTGTTCATTCTATTTTTCTAAACATATTTTGTGTAGGATGCTGATCGACTTCCATCGCTGCCACCATATAAACCATAACCACTTCGATTGGCATTTTGATTTGTATATGATGCACGATAGGTTGTCGTATAAGCTCCTGAAATGTATCATTTAATAGGTAAATATTTATCTAAATCTTTGAAGAAACAAACCCGGATAATTGTAATTTGTTGAACGATATTGTTGTGCTGGTTCAGTTTGACTCAGCTGCGGTGGAGGTGATTGTCGTTCATAAAGAGTTGGACTTGATTGAGATTGAACCGTTTGAGGACGACGACTTGATAAATATTTTGAATAATCTACTGGCAGATCGGTTATTTTATCAACAATACGAACTTCACTATAAATTAAGCAAAACAAAATGTTAAAACATAAAATCTTTATTCATTTTTTCTTCTTACCCCATAGTACTTGTAGCATTATGCGATTGAGGGTCAGCGCGAAAAACACCTTCATCAATGACAATTTGTTCATGATGAGCTTTTGGTTGTTCATATTCGATAATAACATTTTTCGGTGGTCGAATTCTATAGTTTGATTATGGAAACAACAACAAAAATAAATGATGAAGTGTATTTATGTCCTATCGACTTACACTTCTAGCGGTGGTGCACGTTCGACAATAACTGGTCGTTCCTTGGTTTCTTGATAAGGTAACCATTTTTCATAAATCACTTGGCGTGGCTTTGGTGGTGGTGGTGGAAGTCGTTCAACAATAACTTGCCGAGGTGGAGCTGGAGGTGCTGGTAAAACTTTTTCAATAATTTGTGGTTGTTGCTGTACTGGTGGAGTTGGTGGACGTTCACCTAATTTCGAAAAACAAAATAATAGGAAATTAAAATAGAAAACATAAAATAGAAAAACCTTACGAATAATAAGAGGAGGAGGTGTTGGTGGTGTTGGTGGTCGTTGTCGAACAACCACTGGTGGTAGTGGGGGTGGTGCTGGAGCTTGACGTTCCTAAGTTAATACAGGCAATAAAAAAAATAAAACTTGTATTAATTAAATAGTTACCTTGATAATAATTGGTGCTGGTTCAGGACCTGGTGGTGGTTCCAAAAATCGTACGTTAACCTGTTGTTTATAATGAATATTTTGATCAGCTGGTTTTACAACACGTAGTGGTTCATTATCAGTTTGTATATTTAAATTTTCCAGGCGACCATCCGGTGCAATAACTATATAAAATAGAAAAATTATTTAATAAAAAAAAAAAAAAAAGAAGAGATATGAATTTTTGTGTACCATCTTGAGTACGATATTGTGGATGTTGATATTGCTGACTTGGACCAGCACGAGCAAGAATTTCATTGCCAAATCTTTCATCATGAATAACACTGCCTGTAGAACGCAATGTTGACGTATCAATATTATTACTGTAGCTTTGCGTTCGCTGTTGCGTATTATTACTGAAATTTTACGTGAAATAAAAATATTCTTGTTATTTTAAATTTTTATGATAGAGAAGCAACTACGGGTATGTATTTAAAAACCAATTTTAAAGCAAAGAAGAATGGGAAAGATTTTATTTATAAACTATAGACAAAGACTAGTTTTTAGATTAATGAATTTGTTTTTCTATTTCTTTATTTTTACCTTCGTGGCGAATTACATTGATAACAGCTAAATCAGAAAAAAATCTAAAGTGTACTCATTTTTCATTCCTTTGATGAAAAAAGTTTGTTTTTTTAAATAAGCAATCAAAGTAAGAGAACAAAAAAAGAGAAGAATGAAGGTAATGATGGGCGAAGCTCGACAACCACTTACCTTGGCACATAAGTAGATGTGCTGTGTAATGAGAAAAAAAAATGAAAAAAATGTTATAGAAAAATATTCGATTGAAAATATTCGAATAATGCAAAAAAGTATTAATAGAAATAATGATCACCCGTTATTTGTATCTTTAGATACTGAATTATCTGAAGTTTTATTTGAACGATATTTATCCAAAAAACTAGGTTTTGATCGATATTGAGCATCATAACCAATACGATCTAATGAATTTATTGTTTTTCGTTCATTGGTATTTTGCTGATATTGTTTTGAACTATTTTCTCGATAAGTATTAGGTGTATGCCGTGAATTTTGACCCACTGCTGCTGACATTTCTTTGTAACTAGTTAGTATAGGATTTCACAAAATGTGGTATACAAAGACACTTTCGTTCTCTTTCTTTATATCACGATATAAGTACTTAGAAACTATCTTAATCTATTTCCTCACTGAATAAATATAGGTTTTTTTTTCTTTCGTAGAGAGTCCTCGATGTCGTGTTGTTAAGAAGATAAGATTTTATAAGAATAGCAGTATTCATATCTTACCCGCGTGGTGTATTTAAATTGGTACGGTACTTATCAAGAAACGAGTTGTAGCCATTGTATCCCTGTTTTGCAGACGTAGCCATCGATTATTTCTTTCGTCAAAATTATTCTCTATTTTAAATAATGTTTTCGTTTTTAATGATGAACTATGCTATATAATAAAAACAATAATAGTGAAGAAATAAAGAGAGAAAACGTTTTTTTCGATGAAGATATAGTGAAGTTATGTTAAAAAGAAAATGCGAGAAGCCATAACTACTGCTGCTGTCGATAGCAATGTTGTAAATGCTGTGGCTGGTTGCTATTCAACGAAAGCGTTCGTTAACCAATACACAGTTAGCAACCACAGTGTCGCTCCTTGCATCGTCTTTTTTACTTCTATGTTATGCTACTAACAAGATTTCTTATTGCTAGGCAATAAAAAAGAGAAGAAAAGAATGAATTCTTTTTTTTTCTCTTGGTAAATATATCGAATGCACACAAAAAACTGCAAAGAGTTTTTGATTCCATGCTCTACTTCTTTTCCGTGATTGCCAATTGTTTCTTTTTTTTCTTTTTATTTTTGACTATTAAAAGCTGTTTTGTATTTTCTCAATATAATTCTTTTCATAAGTGCTATTAAAAATCTGTTATGTATGTTCCATATAGAAATAAGTAATCGTTATAGTCTTCTGCCATTGTTTTTTCTGTTTAATGACACAAACGAAATGTTCACAAGGACAAATTTCGCAAAAACAAAATCATAACAGTAACAAAACGTAATACAGTGTGGGGCGAAAAAAGAAGAAAATGTTTCTTAGCAACAATACACTGTAGACAGTAACTAAATACAAAAATGTATATTGATGTAAACTTGAACATGCTGTGTTATTCATTTAAAAATTTTAATAGGC